GTCCCTCCATTCCCCATCTGCATATGAAGTCCTGAATAACATCCTCAGACTCTAGCAGTACTGGACTCATCATGTTCATAATGCACTGTAACAGAAACATAACACACACCTTTCAGTACAGGGGATCCTTGTAGATGGTGCACTGCTGAAGAGGTGAATGGGGAACATGATGCTGTATCATCCTTGCCCGTCAAGAAACTCACCATTCTTCACTGATGCCATTCCAGCACTGTCAACACACAGTAACAAGTATACAGAATACACTCGATATTATAACAGGGTAAAGCTATCCATGTAACAGGATGTGAAGGCCCATAAAGTTGTGAGATGTCGAGGCTCCCACATTTTCCAGACATTCAACTCAGATGGCAGTCATGCTGTCACTTTTATGTGCCAGCTGCCCTTAACCCCCCAGGAAAATTCTTACTCTTCATTTCTGTTAAATGCTAGTCAAGCCCAGGACTACATTGCAGCCTCACTGATCTCATTGGGACTTGAACCCACTACCCCATGAGCTTGCTGATTCAAGACAGTGAATACAGCACTTCCTGTACAATGACCAGGAATGCTGTTCGTCACTCCCAGTCCAAGTCAAAAGATCTCTGATGACTGTCATGCACTAGGGAAGTGTTTAGTTTCCTGGGACACCATAATGTCAAAACACCCTACAAGGACTGAACTGCCGCTACCTCCTCGGTCCAGTATCATGGCGTCCTTTCTTTGCTGGGACAGCAGTCTTTTCACTGGTGCTTCTGTGTGAGCCCCCATTTGATGTTCCTTGATTTAAGGTTTTCCTTCATTTAACATTCAGTTTCAAGGACTTCAGGTCAATAATCTCAATGCTGAATTACCTCTATTTAAGATTTCCTTTAGTTTAGTGTTGAAATTCACTGATCTCAAAAAAAGGTAAAGGTATTAGATAATGCACATATCACCTAATACAGCCATTTTTATTTCGAAAGCGTTACAAGCGTTAATAATAATCAAAGTGTGTCTTCTGTAATATGTGAAAGGCTGGAAACTGATAACTTTCCTAGGGCCAGCTACCAGACGTCAGCAATCATATAGTATTTCCTCTCTGTATTCTTGTCAATTAAGCAATTTCGCAATGCTGATTTGCAATTAAAAAGAATTATGATCGTTTTATGCGTTATTTCTACTTGCACAGCAGAACATATGTGCAAATACATTGCGCATACTTTCGCATGCACTTGGTGGGCCTCACTGCCTGTATAACTCCATGGAGCCCAGCCCTTGAGAAGCTACCAGTCACTCAGTTACTCAAGAACTTTCCAAAATGTCGTGGAACCATTAGTTACATTATCATATTCACAAGTTACCCGCGACTAGTCCAAATCCCGAGCCAAATGAATCCAGTCTACACCACCCAATCCTACTTTTCTAACATATATTTTAATATTATCGTATCACCTACGTTTAGGTCTCTTTCCTTCTGACTTTTCTTCAAAAACCCTGTGTGCACTCCTCTTCGCTCCCATACGTGCTACATTACCCGCCCATCCTCCTTGACTTGATATTCTAATGCTAAGTTTAAGTTAAGAATTTCCTCATTATGTAGCTTCCTTCAAACTCTTGTTAGTTAATCCCTTTTGGTTCCAAATATTCCCCTCAACACCCTGTTCTCATACACCCTCAGTCCATGTTCTTCCCTTAATGTCAGAGAAAACGTTTCACACTCATACCAAACCACAGGCAAAATTATAGTTTCGTATATTTGAATTTTTACGTTTTTAGACAGCAGATGATTAAAATGTAACCAAACTCAGTCAAGCCGTTCTCGAGCAAATTGACATTTCACGTTTGGGACGCTAGAGGGCGTACCGTTATTTTCCCTAAGATACCATCCATGCGGTTTTATGAATGAGCCACTAAATAGATCACATATGGAAGTAAAACAGATGTAATTGACATAATATGTTTTCTGTGTGTATCACTAGGTAGCTTCATGAGAGTCTAGGTAGCAGAAGTGCATACGAATGTTCAAAGGATGGTTTCAGTAGTCAAAATGGCAACCGTGCTTGAGGAGTGTACTACCCAAGAGCAGAGTTCTGTTGTGCGGCTTTTACTTGGGGGGGGGGAGCAGAAGGACTCAGTGCAAAGGATATTCGTAAAGAAATGTTTCCTGTTTAGGGTGGAAAGTGTTTGTCGCATAAAGCGGTTCACAACTGGGTCGAGAAACGTGGCACACGCTTCGCTGATGACGGAAAGGTTGAAACAGGTGTGCGGAATTTGCTGAGACAACAGTCAAAAGACTTCATATTGCGGGTTTCGACGCACTGGTAAAGCGATGGGACAAGTGTATCAATGTTGGTGGAGGATATGTGGAGAAATATTTTTTTTTCCCCAGGTTCGAATATCACAAGTTTTACATTTTATATAAATTTGTGACCTATTTAATAACTCTCCCTTGTGTTTAGGGAGATAGTTTCCGTAAATTACTAAAATTTAATCAAGATCGTTATAGAGTCGATTTCTAAGAAAAGTATGTATTTGGATGCGCCTGTGAAGAGCTTATATTTTTGGAACTAGAATGTTTGTAGTCACGGGGCAACAACCTACGATGCATAAATTCTTATGTGCCGAATGCGAACAAAATTCGTCCTACCATTTAGACACTAATAAGGCGCAAAAGCTTTCCAAAGACCGCTTTTTCGTAGTCAGCGGTGCATAAAATATTTAAACATGTAAATCCGTAAAAATCTGAACACTTCCTCATATATACATGCAACCTATATGAGAAAATTATAAGGCATATATACGTACATAAGGATCAGAGATCATATCTGCTGCCCTCGTGTGCCATCTCCGAAAGCATTCAATGGATTTCGATTAAATTTAGCACTCTGGTGCAGGAGCAAATATCTTCCCCATATCATTATCAAAGCCGTTAATACTATGACAAACTCACAATGTATTTCCGTGTGATGAATTTGAATATAACGATCTTCACGTATTCGTCAGTTTTCTAATTTACACTTCCAAACCATTTCACCCCCGACACACAATTCATTCTTCCTTTCCTACCTTAATTTCAACCCCGACTTTTTGTGGTAGAGGCCTTTACCACCATTTCACACACGAGAAGCTGATAGTAACTTAGCTAATCAATAAATTTCAATCCTTTTACGGAAGCTGATGAACAGCCATATTTAGTCTCTTTCCTTCCGGTTTATTTAACGACGCTGTAAGTAACTGAGACTGCAAAGCGTCGAATACTAGATAATGAATTGGTAAGGATGTGGAAGGAAGCGGTCATGGCCATGGGTGCCGCATAGATTTTGCCCAAGGTGGGGGTCAGCTTTCTTACAAACTTAACGTTTAAGCAGTTTAATGACAGTTTTGCTGTTCGTCCTAAAGTTTTTAGAACAAAATAATAACGTTTACATCCTGTAACATTTATTACCAATATTCCATAACGTTTCCAAATATCTTCAATTTGCCCAAGGTGGGGGTCAGCTTTCTTACAAACTTAACGTTTAAGCAGTTTAATGACAGTTTTGCTGTTCGTCCTAAAGTTTTTAGAACAAAATAATAACGTTTACATCCTGTAACATTTATTACCAATATTCCATAACGTTTCCAAATATCTTCGATTGTGACTTCGAAATACCCAAGGGCGGAGACAGCAGCTTGGCTTGCACCCACCCCCCTCCCACACACACACACACACACACTCCAGTGTCCATGGTCGTGACATAATCTGAAGCAGTACCCCGAGATTCGCCTGAAAGGACTGGAGATAATTACAAAAAGAGAACCAGGTACCTTCCGAATACAAATCAGATACGCCGCCGCTTGAAGTTGCTCGGTTCAGAACTACATGGACGCTCCGGGTCATAACTACCTAAATAGACGCCCGAGAAAATAACCAACGCATAAAGCAAATTATTACAGGTCAGGTTCGAGGGGAATATGTACACCCTGCGTACACGTAACGCGCTGTTGCGGACGATAACGATGACGTCTTAAAGCACCGGAAATAGTTTAGCTCAAAAACAAAAAAGAAAGCTCTTGAACTTACGGACGGTTACTAAACCAGCCATCGCCAATTTCCAACCCTAGTCGTAATAGTTAATTATTTTATTTTTTGATAATCTTTCTTAGGAGCAATAACATTCCAAAATTATTATTATTATAATACGTCAGTAATACTAAGACACAACTACGCAGTTAGATTATCGGTTACACCTTCCGAATATGCGCAAATGATTTCGCATTCAATTGTTCAGTAAGTCTCTGTTTACCTACCAGAGGGATACGCATCAGTTTTCGATGATAAACCACTCGTCCTGTTGGATTTGCCGTGTTTATTTATAATGTGAAATTCCCAGGAGTGTAAAGATTGAACATTAAAAGTGATTATTTTGCCTGTTCACTTATTTCAAATCATCGCTCAGGTGAGTTAATTACTTAAATGTAAGTGCAAAGTTCAGCAAAATTTCCAATTGATTAACCATTCAGGGTATTTTTATTGCAGAAAGAGGGCGTCAATTACATTGTCTGTTCAGAAATGATAAATACTTCGAAATATTTATATATAATTGTTATGACATGGTTAGGTTTATTGTTCTGGTGAATAACGCCCATGTCTATGAAATCAATATAAATCTTGGGAAACCTTGGATTTCGCAGTACGCGTGCGCATGCTGGTAAGCGCGCGTAGGTGAAATATTGCAACACTACGTCGAATGGAATTTAATATGGCTGCGCTGTTTTGATTATCTTTCTTACATTAATCGCAGTTTACTTTTTATATCTATAAGTTATTTTGGTTCGGTGACCCCGGAACGTTGCTTCGCAGTTCCCTTTATGGTACGCAAAATATTCGAAAATGTGTAATGGCGGAGTTTCCTAATTGTGAAATATTATTTTGAAGCAAATTCACGGGAAACAAGCGAGCAGGGTGGAGTAGCTGTATTCTGGAAATCATCGGCGCGAATCCCGGACACATCATCAGCTATCGTGACTCACGTTTTTCGTGGAAAATGCAGGAATAGTACCAAGATTAAACCACTACCGCTTTCTTACAAACCGTTTCTACAGTATCGTCTACAGTTAGTCTACAGTTAGTGTCGTACAGTCATTCAACGCTGTATAGTCTGGTTAGTGAGCCCTTCTTTAGAAGCCGCCAGTTGCTACTCAAGAATTTCCCAGCATTTTATGGAACCCGAAGGTTCATTATCGTATTCACAAGAACCCTCCACTGGTCTTTATCCTTAGCCAGATCAGTCCACTTCATCCTATCCCTCTAAGATCAGACATCTTACATTCCACGTACCACGTATCTCATTTCCATTTTCCTTAGCTTAGGTCGTTTATCCAGAGAATCACCCCAGGTCTGAGACCCTCTGTGATATTTCGTAACATTTTTACGGTGAAGTATTGTTATACGCACGATCACTGTCCGCGATTCGCAATTACCCTCCATATCTGGGGTGCAGTTAATGAGAGCCACGTAAAACAAGCCACAAAGACACGCACATACAAATATAAAATAAGGAAATGACAGGCGCTCCCACTGGGAAGATGGGCCAATGTGAAATTAATTTGTGAAACACCGCGTGAAGATTGCGGTTGGACCCCGATGTAATTCGTGGCCAGAGTATCAGGGTTGAACAAAGTATACCGTTCGCCATCAGCAGACAGTGACACAGAATATTACGACATAATCAGAAAATTACTATACTCTATACAGTACTGTCTTCTGTGATGCCGTGTGGTCCGGTAGTTCACGGACGTTTCGGAGAAACGGATCCATATCGGTAGTTCAATAACTACGTATTCCTATATTAACTGCCTGATGATGGTCTTGTACGACCGAAACATGTAGCAGGAATAAAAAGTAGAACAGTAAAACATTAAAAAGCGAGTATATTTTGTAGTGTGGTAATTAACCTAATTCTTATATATATATATATGTTTCGGAGAAAATTAAAGCCACCATCCTCATGGTCAAACAGTAAGCCAAGCAAGTAACCACTAAGAAGCAGGTAGCAAACCCTTGCTGCCTGGCTTACTTTCGACCTTGAATATGGTGACATCAAGTTCCTCCGAAACGTTGGTGAAGATTTACCAGGCTATACGTCGTAACATCACTGAAGACAGCAGTCTTCGTAGTCACTGGTGTTCTTGTAACTATGTTATTGTTCTAAACAAAAAGTATTTGAACTTCACAAATGAATTCATATCACATCATATACCAGGAGTGACCAAACTGTAAGACGTGAGTCGCATGCTACTGTTCTGAACCGTTACTGCTACTCACAGAAAAGAACATTAGTGCTCCCCCCCTTTTTTTTTTCAAATGCACTCTATATATGTGTATATATGAACTACCTGTAGGGAGAGCAAGCACCTAAGTTCGTGTGCCATCCGATCCATGTCTGTCTACGGCTGTAGGTCTGTCAGTTAACTGCTGATGGTCCTCGCCAGCACAGTAAATCTTGGTTTATATTTTTGTTCTTTACAAGCATTTTACGTGTTTTGAAATGGGGGCCTCCTCTTCGACGAGCGGTCGGTCGTGACTGCTACTTGTCCGTCTCCTTCCTGAACTCTGTTTGAGGCTGCCGAACTTCTGAAGACCAACATGTGTTAAGTAAGGTTGGTCGCCCCTGGTATATGCAGTGCCCCACACCGAGACAAGACAAATACAAGATCAGACATGGATATATATTTTTTTTAATTGCTAGTGGGGTGGGACTAAGTCCCTTGTACTGCGGCCACTTCTGGCCTATTGTACCAGCCACAAATGATAGGTGAGATTGATTGTGGAGCAATTGGAGGAATGAAGACTGGCACGGGAAACCAAAGTACTCGGAGAAAACCTGCCCCAGCGCCACTNGGCTGCACACGACGCTTCGATGGTTTCTCGTAGCGCGTTCAGTGTAATTGGTTTTTGTCGATAAACTTCATCCTTCAAGGTTCCTCATAGGTAGAAGTCGAGAGGTGTTAGGTCTGGAGACCGTGGTGGGTACTCAATAGCACCTCTTCGACCTATCCATCGTCCAGGTAGAGTGTCATCCAAATATGCCCCGACATCTCGATGGTAGTGAGGTGGAGCACCGTCTTGTCGTAGGTAAAATCTCTCATCTCCAAACAACTCTCGAATGGCAGGGAAAATCGATGTCTGAAGCATATCGAGGTACACCTGACCGGTGTTGCAACACCGCAGCACTGGAAGCTGGACTCGTTACAATCGTGGTCGCCCAGATCTTTGCTTATGCACATTATGAACAGTACCGTCGGCTTCAAATTTGTCCCGAATACTGGCAATTGTTCGACGTGTTGGTGGCTGAGCTCCAAACTCATTCTGCCATTGTCGTTGTACCTCTTTTAATGTTTTCGTACTTCCAGTACCACTTCAATACAGCCTTGCGTTGCTCAAATAAAAATCTTTCAGCCATTATTGCTGCTGTCTTCTGCTCGTAGCGCGCACGCGGCACGACACTCACGTGACTCATGTGACCTTCGCCATCTGTTGAGAAAATATTACACTACACTACCGCGCAAGAATTGTTAACTACATGTCTTTTGTTCCAAAGATATTGACTATCAAAAAGTGAGTACATTTTTTCGAACCCCCTGTATATATAATCTGTTTCAGCAACTTCATAAACAACATGCTGCTACTGATGATGATGATAATGTCCTAATAAATTTTATATCAGTATTTAGACCAGTAGAAGAGAGAGCAAGTTACGGGTCGCCACGATAATCTGATAAGCATTATCACCGCTTGAATATTTGATTACTTCAGTTAGAATGTACACGCTGGGGTAGAGGGGTGTCACCCTGGTCCTGGGCGCCACAATCCGCTTCAGTTAATATTTCTAGAGCACATCTAACACAATTCATGGATCTGAGCCAATTTTTGAAAAGCTACTCAAGAACTTCCTTGTATTCTATGACATCCGAGGGTTCTTTACCGTGTTCACAAGAGCCCTCCACTGGTCCCTATCCTGAGCCAGAACAATCCAGTCCATGCCATCCTATCTCAAGATCCATTTTAATATATCCGCTCACTTACTTCTTGGCCTTCCTAGTGGTGTCTTTCCTTCTGACTTCCCCACCAATATCCTGTGTTGCATTCCTCTTCGCCCCCCTTCGTGCTACAAGCCGTGCCTATCTTATCCTCCTCGGCTTGGTCATTCTAATTGGCGAAGAGTACACGTTATGAAGCTACTCATGTAGTTTTCTCCAACCTCCCGTCACTTCATCTCTCTTCGGTCCAAATATTCTCCTCAACACCCTGTTCTCAAACACCCACAATCTCTGTTCCTCCCTTAGTTTCAGACCAAGTTTCACGCTCACACGGAACAACAGGCAAAACTATAGTTTTGAGTACAGAGCATATCTGTTACAAATATTTCAACTACACGGCGTATGCTGTTGCTGCCCTTGCCAATTGCTGCTCATTTCAATTTACTTTTACTTCACTATCCAACCTTACTACGAGGCTCTCACATTACTTTCGCGGACCATGGGTCGGGAAACGCTAATTTAATAGAAAACACATGCGGATTGACAAGCAGGCAAATGGGGGAGGGGATCATGAAATAGTGACGTCACGTTCAGTGCACAGAACGCATAAACGGCCGGAATCCGCCAGCGAAGAGACAACAATGGAATAAAGCCTGAAATTCATTAATTACAAAATATTTCAGTTTTGTTATTTAAAGTACGATATACATATATATATATATTTGTGGCGTGTTTATTTTTAAACAAGACACTTTACTTCTTTGTTGTTTAAAATGAAGTGCAGCTAGGAGATTGAACTCGGGTAATGCTTGCTGCCATTCGGTCCAGAACCTTTTGTCTTCTCGTCTGCTGTCCAAAAATATAAAAATTAGAATATACAAAACTATAATTTTGCCTGTGGTTCTGTATGGGTATGAAACATGGTCTCTGAGATTAAGGGAGGAACATGGACTGAGGGTTTGAGAACAGGGTGCTGAGGAGAATATTTGGACAGAAGAGGGATGAAGTGACAGGAGGTTGGAGAAAACTGCATAAAGAGTAGCTTCATAACTTGTACTCTTCTCCAAGTATAATTAGAGTGATCAAGTAAAGGAGGATGAGGTGGACAGGGCATGTGGCACGAATGGGGAGAAGAGGAATGAGTATAGGATATTGGTAGGAAGACCAGAAAGAAGGAGACCACTGGGAATACCAAGGCGTAGATCGGTGGACAATATTACAATGGATCTTAGAGACATAGGATGGGATGGTATGGATTGGATTGATCTGGCTCATGATAGGGACCAGTGGAGGGCTCTTGTGAACACGGTAATGAACCTTCGAGTTTCATAAAATGCTGGGAAATTCTTGAGTAGCTGCACAATTGGCCTCTCCTCAAGAAGGGCTCAGCTCCATTAGTAAGTAAGTGAGCTAATCTCACACAAATTATGGTCTTAGCCCGCAGAAGATTTTGAGACTGAGACTCTTGGCCAGTATGGGTCTTCCTTTTACTACTGTGACTTTATCTCACCAAATTCCCATCTTAAATAATGTCACAGCCATGCCAAAACGAGCTACCGTGATGTTGATCTGTCAGTTACCGAATCATGCACGTAGGAGTCTCGAGTACTAACGATAGATGGCTCCGCGAATGATAAATTACACTGTCTACTGTGTATTTATTAATATTAGTAAACTGAGCAATCGTTATCAAGGAGTATACAAAACGTTCATGGATTGCGAAATGTAGTTCAAGTTTAGTGCTGATATTAAAAACATTTGTTGCTATTTGCTCGTGCATATTGCGCTTTGACCTTCAATAGGTTCAAGCGTGCGTGATGACACAGTATGTTTCACCGTCAGTGGTCCAAGCGAATGCCAGCAAACTGGTGAGTAGTTGTTCGTCTGGCAACGGCTTTGTGTTCGTCCAGAGTGAAATATCGTTTTGTTCGGTTCTGTTAGTGTAAAACATGAAGAGGTCTCACCGTAATCGTAACAGGAAATCAGGAAAAGCAGAGACTAGTGAGTACTTATTTAAACCCGCCCATATTAATAAATTTCGGCAATGAAGGTGGTTGTAATAATATCAAGGACAAATGTAGTTTATGGCAATAACACTACCTTTGTTCCCGTGATATGTTTTAGGGTATAACATTATGTTGTTTGTGAATGTACTACTGTTTGTCAGTGAAAAGCTTCCAAAAGCATACCGTAAACAAATTAGTACAGTGTCATCATTTGCACTGTTGCAGTTTCGTCTTTTGTGTACCCATCAACGATAATTGTTAAGGTCTATTTAAGGAAGAAGGAAGTAGGAAGTGTAGCAGGTATGTAGAAAATGATGCTTAAAACATTTTCGTCTGAAAATCTCAAGAAAGGTATCGCTAGTGATACCTGGCCGTTGATTGAAGGATAATATTAAAAAGAATTTTTAGATAAATTGGTTTTGAACATTTGGATCGAAATCAGCTGGGTCGGGGTAAGATTAATGGTCTTGTGAGAACACGTGAATAACTCCTGGGTTCCATAAATATTTTTTGACCAGCTGGATGACTGAGGTAAATGTTTAGATCCTGCACCTGGAGTTAGGGAAGGATGGCCTCGGCCCGATAAATCTTTCAAACCGACCATGTGTTGAATTGTAAATATAATTTAAATACTCGAGACGTTAAAACAGTAGCACGGAATAGAATACTTCCGGCTTATTTTATATTGTTTGAGCGGTTTTAGCTCAAATTAATTATGTGTCCCTAATTTTCTGTACACACAGAAGAGTAACCTAAACTGAACATTACAGTTCTACTTCAGCGAAGAACGGTCAGCCGTAAAACTTACTTAAGCCGATGATAGGCCGTGCCATAGCTCAGGCGGTTACTCGCCGGCTTCCCACCACTGCGGCCCTGCTTCGAGCCTGTGTCGGGTCATGTGAGTTTGTGTGTGAACAAAGTGGAAATGGGGCACGTTTTCTCCGAGTACTTCGGTTTCCCTGCCAATCTTCCTTCCACCAATTGTCCCACAATCACCATCATCTTCATCTGGGGCTGGTACAATAGGCCAGTAGCGACGGGCTGGACGTCCGGGGTTCTATTCCAGGGAAGGGGAAAGATTGTTCCCTTCTCCAGAGCGTCTGGATGGGCTCTGAGGCTCATCCAGCCTCTCCTATCTATCGGGTACCGGGTCTTCTTACCCAGGGGTAAAGCGGCCGAGGTGTGAAGCTGACTACTCTCCTCCATCTAGTGCCGAGGGCAAGAATGATGGAGCTGTACCTCCATTTCCCCATATATCTTCATGGCATAATGCATAATTAAGCACAGGAAGAACTTCGCTTTATACATGGTGTAGGCCCCCCAGAACGACGCGGGAGTGTTGTCCACCTGATCCTCACTATTTCCCACCGATATGTGAATACCGGGGCCAATCACAGTGGCCGGTCTCGCGGGCTAAGGCGTGAACTGTCTTTGCCCGCTCGAACACTGGGATCGTGGGTTCGAATTCCACTCGAGACATGGATGTCTGTATTGTGTGCGTTTATTCCGTGTTTGTGTTGTTCTATGTTTAGGTAGGGACCTTGCGAGAGGTGAACCCCCGTCCAAGGAGTCTTACCGACTGGGTATAGGATCAACAAACTGAAAAGTGGCCACGGCCCAACAAAGGGCTGTAGAGCCACAATAATAATAATAATAATAATGTGAATATTTGAGATAGAAGAATGTAATAACTATCTGATGATGGCGTGACGTACCATGTCACAAACTCGACCCAGCAGTGGATGGATTCCGTGAAACCGACAGGCCTAATCGGTTGCCCGCGTAGGCGGAGTCGGAACACAAGGGAGTCATAGTGCCCAGCAGTTCGATAACCTTGACAGCGTCGGTGTCCGCCGCGGGGGGGGGGGCTGTGACGAGCTGCGTGCTGGACGTCCGAGGCACTACTACTGGTATGGACAGAGATTTTTATCTTCTCCGCGGCGGCTAGACCAGTTGTAGGGCCCACGCANTCATTCACCTAATCCTTCCAGCCGCACTATGACAGTGCGATCGAGTCAGCATCTGACATAAATAAGTACCGGGAATATTCCTGGAATGTTCTTGGGGCTAACGGTCCGGTCAGCGCGTAAGGCTGCCAACCTTGCCGCCATCTATTAGCCGATTATCTAGACCAAGGGTCTCCAAACTACGGCCCGCGAAAGAATTGTGCAGAAATGCGCCAATTGAACTAATTTTCCAGTGAGTACTGGTAAATGTGATTCCGAGCTTATTGACCTGACATATTATACTGCAGTTCGATGGCTTGACTGTGGAAAGGTTCTTTCGCGCTTCTTTCAGCTCAGGAATGAAATTGATATATTTCTTACCGAGAAAAACCATCACGAACCACTTTTATCAGATACCGAGTGGCTTTGGAAATAAGAATTTTTTGCTGATCTGGTGAACCATATGAACCATTTCAATTTAAAGTTGCAGGGTGAAAATAACTTAGTCTGTGATTTATTTGCACTTATCGAGACATTCAGAGCAAAGTTGATACTTCTGGAAAGCCAAGTGAAAAATTGTAACTTTGTTCATATGCTATACTGTGCAGAGTTGCATAAAAAGGGTGAAGCAGAATTTCCTTCCTCATTTGCGAATTTGGTCATTTTAGATTTGAAAGAACAATTTCGGAAGTGATTTGCTGATTTGGATTCCAGTGCTCAGGAAATTAGATTGTTTCAATATCCGTGTGACTGTGATGCTGCAGATGTCGAATTCAAATGGAAATTATTGAACTTCAGGAAAATTATCATATTAAAGACAAATACAAGGAAGGAAATTTGATCGAATTTTATAAATTTCTGAACTCTGAGCAATTTCCAAATTTAAAGAAATTTGCTTGTAAATTTATCTCCATTCTTGGGACGACATATCTGTGTGAACAAACTTTTTCCCAGATGAAGTACATCAAGTCGAAATAAAGGGCAAATTTATCCGATGAACATTTAAAGTCGCTACTTGTGATTAGCGTTTCAAAATTTAAACCTCAGTTTAATCAGATTTTAAGAATGCAAAAAGAGTTCCATCATTCACATTAATTGTTTTATTATAATTTGTGATGAAAATATGAGCATTTGCTGCTACTGTCTGTTGTCATTAATATACGATAATTTATTCTCACGTACTTTGTATTTAGTTTATGAAATTCTGTGCTTTCAATAAAACTCATATACCTAGAGTTATTAATTTCTCATTTTATCCGGCCCGTTGAAAGTGCTGAATTACCTAATGTGGCCCGCAGTTCGAAAAGTTGGGAGACTCCTGATCTAGACAATGTGGGAACCTCAACATCTCACAACCCTCTGGGCCTCCACGGCCTGTTACAGGGATACCTTTACTTACATTAATGGGTTACACCAATGCAAAGGGAAACTATCAAAGTTTTTTCTGCGTATATAACTTTCTCAGTAAATTTCAATGTGGGCTCCCTTGGTGGCACGACAAATATCCAGTCTTGAAGCATGTTTGATGTTACCATAGCCACAGCGTCCCTATGCGGGCTCTCAGGTGTTGCAGGTCGTTGATCTGGTTGACAGTGTTCTTCACATAATCCCACAAGAAAAAATCCACTGGGGTTAAATCGGGCGACCTAGGAGGCCAAGCGATTGGTTCACCTCTGACAATTCATATTCCAGCCATCTCTCTGTCCAGGTGATGCCTAACATGGTAGCAAAAATGTGGCGGTGCTTGCACATAAACCAGAAACATGTATGATAATTGCTTTCCGAGATATAATTTTTTTTATTTTTGATACCTTTCATCTGGACGTTCTATATTTGAAGTCGGTATAGAGACTATGTGCTGGACAACTGAGAAGTTGAGGTTCTACTCAGCCTCCTGTTCAGTGTGTACCATGGGGTCTGTTTCAGGGGGTAAAGCATCCAGGGTGTGAAATTGATCCACTCACATCTATCTTGTGCTGAGATTAAGAATACGCGGAGCTGTACACCACTCACCTATACATCTTAGGGCGTAACACTTAAGTAGGTATAGCGACAACTTTAGCATTACCTACATCTTAACATGCATAGCTTGCCCAACATTGTAGTTCTGTGTAAACATGTGCAGTGGCCACTCTTTGTTTGTTCTTTTGTTTTCACCTGCTCTCTCTGCAGGTGCAACCTGTCCCTATCTGTGTCACCCACTTCAGGATTCTAGGATTTCCTTGTTGACTAATGAGGAGACAGCTGATAGTGGTTACGAGGTCTCAGACTACAACACAACTAGTTCTGAACACCTTCATGTTAGATATATATATATATATATAAACTTGTGACAAACAGCAATAATGTAATGTAATGTAATGTATGTAAGGGGTGGGCCATAAAAACTGGCCCCCGCACTGCGACATCCAATGATCTATTGTGCTTCCCTCATCTACCCTGAGGATGGAATGCAGCAGGTTCCTCCGAAACGTCGGTAATGATCTACCACACTACATGGCCTCACATTGCATAAGGCGATATTACTTAACAATCACTGCTATGAGAACTGCAGGTCACTTATATTTATTTATCTATATACAGTAAAACTTGGTTATAGCAACATCGGTTTCTGCGACACCTTGTCTATTGCGTCAAATATTCAATGGTACGAACTAATTCCTCATAAAGCAACTGTTTTTATACCTTGCTTAGTACGACATGCACAAATGCATCAACCTCGTATGTAACGTCATTTTCATTCCTGAATTTCTCTGATATGGACATTGAACGTAATTTAGAAAGTGTGTATTGGGCAAGTAACAGGAAACAGATGATGATAACTGATTACTGTACTCGTATCTAGGTACAGTAAGGCACAACAATTGATGTAATCTACTGTAATTTGGTGAGTAGGCCTACCTTTAATATACAGTATTAGTGCGGTGTGTATTGTCAGTGAAAAGCGCTGTAATATGTCTTTGATATTACACATTTGGGCAATTCCACGTTAATGTTACGTTAGTCTGTACTTAACTACGTATTTCACTAAAAAATGCAACATTTTAACGTGATTTTTACGTGACTAACATAAGGGTACTGTGGAAGTGCCCATTTTGGTTACAACGACATTCGTTTATAACGACACTATTTTTAGGTCCCTTTGATGACGTTATAACCAAGTTCTACTGTATTTATCACTAATGTCATAGCTCAAAATATTCAGTGCCAAATGGTAGACTGATTAGTGAACAAGAAGTTCAGGGACAAACTAGTCAAAGTTATGTTACGACCAACGGTCAGTCAGCCAGTCTGTCTTGCTGTCGTGACACCCATCTGGGGCTTAAGACCAGATCTTCATTACTGTCAGACAGTTGCAGACTTGTTGATGTGGGGCACTCTCTCTGATGAGAGGATGGATCTGTCATTTGCCAGAGTCACACTCAGTAATAAGTAATAAGTCTGTTGTCAGTATGTACAGTTTACATTTTACGTGTTATTAAATATATGTATATACACCTACAACATATGCAGGGCCTCTGTCAGTCCAGGCTCAGTACAGTAGATCATGCCCTATAATTAGTAGCTCCTGTTACAACAGCTGTCTAATCACCTGAACAGTCTCATGCTTGACCACCACAGGGACAAACTAATTGCTTACTTTCTTTGATAAACACAGACCACATAGGAAACGATGCATCTAACAGTTCTTCTATTGTTGCATGTGTATTCAGTGTTGTGGTGCATTTTTACCAAGCCCTTGCCTACCAAGTGATAGGCGGGATTTTTACTAAGGCGTTGCCTAACAATAAGGTGATACACATATAGACTCACAGACTGATGGAAGAGATTTGCTAACTACACCGTTGAAATGGTCTCAGGTGCCAAGGTATACATGCCAGGTTCCATTATGATTGGTTCAGCCATTCAGAAGTTGATGGGGGGGGGGATACACAGACAGCATGGAGATCACATATGCCTACTTTCGTTTTTTAAAATAAGGAACGTGGACTAAAAATTAATTCAGGAGGAGTGCTTCTGACTTGACCATGACATCCATTGACCTCCAGTAGTGTGATGATCATATCAAGTCTCAACTTGTGTCAGATGATGCCAGCGATTCTGAACATTGTAATTCATTTGAAGCATTAAAAGGGTTAAAGGTTACAATTTAATATGTAGAAATGTAGATATATGTAACCATTATTTCTTCTGTGCTTAACAGGCCTTGCTATGGAAGAACTCCAGTCAGCAATTGCGCTGCATGACAAGCGAACAGTGCAGGATGTCGGTGGGGCTCAGCAGCCAACACTCCTTTCGTCACTACGGAGTGTCCTCTTCGTGATAAGCTCGGCCCTCATTGGTTTTGCTGCTTTCAGAAACACACTCACATGGCAAGGAAACATTTTATGTCCTTCCACATTGTGACTTTCTGAAGTTGACCACTCATTTCTTATCCCCAAGGGAAAGATCCACTGGTACCCATCATATAGGTGGCTGGGTGAGCCCCAGAGCTGGTCTGGACGCTATGGAGAAGATAAAAATCTAGCCCCAGCCAGGAACACAGTAGCATAGTTGGTTCAGGAACTATTTACAAGCCAGAAGGTCTAGCTACACTACGGCCCTCAGGTCAGCTCAGCCTCTAACAGAAACGAGTACCAGGAATCTTCCTGGGTGGTAAAGGGCAGCTGGTTCATAAGGCTTATAAACTTACCACCATCTGTGAGCCAGTTGTCTAGAGGAAATGTGGGAGCCTAGATGTCTCACAACACTATGGGCCTTCACAGCCTGTTACAGGGATAGCTTTACCTTCCCCCCCCCCTCAGCTGGGAATCGAACCCAAACCCTACATCCCATAGCCCATTTCTATACCAAATTGAGCTATCCCAGCTCCTACACAAGGATAATTTTACATTTACCTTACATGAGTTATAACACCGCGTAGTTTAGTAGCTGGGTTGCAATGTTTGGTAGAAACATGCTGTCTCCATTGAGACTGTAGGTTCCTCTGAAATGTTGATACACTGTTTTATAACCCAGAAGATCACAACAAAAAACTTGAGAATGAAAATTCTTTTTTTTTTTTTTATATATATATAAAACAGAAGTTACTTTACATTGTTTTAATATTGTTATGCTTTTTAATTTAATCTTCATAGTCAGTCCTTGACAGGGCGGCACATGACTTCATGATACTGTCTTATCAGTCATTGTGCTGTGGTGTGTATGGAACAGGCCTCTGTGACCTTGGTCACTTAACAAGAATACAACCTAACATATTTGCTTAGTGAACATTTCTGATTTTTATTTTGGAAGCTCTTGGTTCGAATCTCAGTCTGGAGACACCTGTCACACCTCAGGTTCTTAATGTTCTTCTCCTCGTCCCAGGCAGATGCCAAGATATTACCTGAAATAGACCACAACTCTTTCTTTCACTTTGTTTCCAATTCAGTATTCACTAATCATTCTGTCGGTTTATACTATATAGTCTGAGTCAGTGATGGCATCATTAGATTGTACTTTTCTTCACATTTTAAATTTTGTGAAATCAGGATACATCTACATTTGATGGGGTCTTAGAATCTATGATGAAAAATTATATTGTATGACTTATGCGTAACGAAAATAATCATATATGTAACAGTAGTAATGGGACAATAAACACAGATAACAACTGAAGCCATTTCTACATACTTCTGTTGTTAAAAATGCCATTGTATGTGTGACAGTGTACAAAGCCTCTGAAGGGGGCGTGAAGGCTGAAAATACCAAGTAATAAAAAGGAAAGCTATCCCTGTACCAGGCCATGAAGGCCCATAGGGTTGTGAGACGTTGAGGGTTCCACATTATCTAGACAATCGGCTCAAAGATGGCGGTAAGGTTGTCAGCCTTAAGTGCCAACCGCGCTTTACTCCCCAGGAAAATTATTAATTAATTCCTTGTACTCATTTCTGTTAGAGGCTGAGTCGACCCAAGGGCCATAGTGCAGCTGGAAGGATTAGGTCAATTGAAAAAATCCAATGACCTCATTGGGACTTGAACCCGTGACCTTCCGGATTGTAGCTGTAATGTTAATTAATACTCTGCAATGAAAAGAGATCAGTCACTGTTGCATCTTAAAAATCTAAGGTGTGTCCTACAGTCAGTCATTATCTTAAAGTGGAGGAAATACGGTGTCATAAATAATAAAAATATGTGTAAGCATATTGCATATTATCACGCTAACAGCTCACCATGTAGTTTATGTTCCTGTTTTCTTATTGAATGACTTTGAATAAATTCATCCCTTTCATAAAATGGGGAAATTAATGTATATCTTAACTTGGTTCACCCTGGTCTGTCACACTAGTAATTGTGTAAAAGATTTTTATCCACCATCCAGTGTGATTGACAGCAGCTGCGTCCTTCTGCAGATGGTAGTTTCGACCGAAACATGTAAAGGACGAAAGAAAACAGCTGTTATCAGTCACACTGGACGGTGGTTAAAAATTTTTATATAATGTATTTCAGATACTAAACCCAATTTCTGTATTTCTTCTAGGCATCTGCAAAGATTCTGGGGTGCTTCTGGTGATTTCTGGCAGTCTTTGTGGGACAGGTTGCTTGATGTTACAGGAGAAGATCCATTTACCTTTTGGGTGTATGGTAAGAATTTTCTTTGAAAATGCTAAATGGCAACTGTCCCCGCACCTCCACCCCCAGATTTTGACCAAAGTCAGAACAGAAGAAAAAAAAGAAATATGCAAAATATTAAGGATACAGATCAGAACAAGTGGACAACGCCCCTTGTGAGGTGTAATAACAATTTTACAAAATTTAAAGGAAATTTTAATAAATTTTATTGATTTAAATTAAGTGAACTACAGCGTGTGCTATTTTAGCGCATACCAATTGACTACAAGTATGGCGTTTTAAACCATGAAGCGTGCAGTCAAATATCCGATGAATGGACAATATTAGTGCAATGTAGCAGTTTAGCATAATAAGACACCTGAGAATGGCCATTTATGGCCAGCACTTGTTGTGTCGAAGGTGTGAGTATAAGAAAGGAGGAAAAATTTGTTGGATTGTTGTCAGACTGTGTAGTACAATCAACAGTATTACAGTAAAACTTGGTTATAGCAACATCGGTTTCTGCGACACCTTGTCTATTGCGTCAAATATTCAGTGGTACGAACTAATTCCTCATAAAGCTACTGTTTTTATACCTTGCTTAGTACGACATGCACAAATGCATCAACCTCGTATGTAACGTCATTTTCATTCCTGAATTTCTCTGATATCGTGGGAAAGTTCGATGTGTCTGCCCACCCTCACTTTCTCTACTTGCTGAC